TTATCCTAATAAAAAATTATAATATCATATTACCTTTTATTTTGTGAATCCAATATACTTTAAAGTTCAAAATTAAACTTACCATTTGAATGTGTCGAGTCGTGTTGTATTGTGTCAGATTCTTGTTGATTCATTCCCAATTTGTGTCAAATATTAGTTAAACCTAACTCAACTCATTTAACTAATTGTGTCGTATCGAGTTACGAGTTAACCTGTTTAATTTCATGTTGTATTTGTATTTGTGTTGATCCACATAAAATTTGAATAAAAAATTTAACGCTAATATTCTATTTTTTATTTTTTTTAAAATTTTTTAATATATATATAAATATATTTGTTGTCATTGTATTTTTATATAAAATTAATGTATACATAATATATGTATATATTAAAAGATATATAGACAAATAAAATAAATGTCAACACAAATAATTAATTTTTCATCCAATTTTAAAAGGATTGATTTTGGTGAGTTATAAGAAAAATTAATTTATCTATTTTTTCATCTTTCTTATTTGTCTTTTTACTAAACAAAATGTTTTATATTTTTATATTTCAACTTTTTACTCTTTAAATTCCTCATACATTTATTTTTTTCACGATATCAAACTAAACATTAAACTTTTGCGTTTTCGTGGGACCAGCTTAAGTTGGCTTACCCAACAGAGTCACTTTCGAAGATACCGACGGTACGTCCCATGAAGTCTCCCACGGTACCTCAAGTCATATACCTTTGTTATAATATATATTGTCCATATATGACATATAACATACGTCATACCTATGTCATGTAACAATGTTACAGTGGGGGAGACTTCATGGGCTGGTTCCATAACTACCTTCGAAAGTGACACTCTGGTCTTCGTGTCACTTTCAAACTTTTTTATGGTCATTTTAATTAGTTGGGATAATTTAAGCAGAAACAAAGATAAATTGTTTAGTTAGACATTTTAACTTCAAATTTTAATAATTTTTTAGGCTAACTTATTAGATATTTATATTTTATGAATACTCTAATTTCATCTTGAATAACATACTTTTTTTTTAATTAATAAAAAATTAATTAAAATACATGTAAACTGAACCAATCAATCAAAAAATGAACAAGAAATGACAATTAAAAAGTTTGAAAGTGACCCCGATTTTGCATTCCCTCTCGAGGAAGCCACAGCGGTATTTTCATCTCGAGCAATATTGACTGTTCAGTGCGTTTCGCTTCGCACCACATACCAATACATACTCAATTGTTTACTATTTTTACTGTATTAAAATTTTTTACAAGTGACCTTGATATTAGCAATTATGAATTTTTTAATTTTATTTTGTATATGTCCATCAATTTTTAATTTTTTTGTTACATTTAGTTTTTAGATTTTTGTTTAAGTGTCTTTACAATTCTAATATCTTAGTAATAATATTTGAAAGATAGTTTATCGATCAAATTAAATGGATGGTCAGTGGATAATTGAGATAGCTTTTTAATTGCACAATAACAATTAACCTCACATTTTTACAATGGTGATGATTAGTCATCTCTATATACACACATAATATATATTTATTTAATATTACAAGTATTAAGTTAAATTTTCAATTTATAAAATCCCTACAATGATTAAGATTAATCTATTTTGATCTAATGGTATAAAGTTTATACCAAAATTTTTTTCCGCTCAAAAATATCATTTTCTTTACACGAACCCTAATGTAAGATAACTCAATGAACATACTCCCCAATGTTAGACAACACCGCCAATTTACACTTATAAATTGAGAACATACTCTCCAGTGTTAGACAACACCACTAAACCATGGATTTTTTTTTTTTAAATTGATACCTTACTCATTCAATAATGAGAAACATTTTTTGTCAAAAAGGAAAATAGAGAAAACAAAAAGTATTAAAGGGCATTTTGGTTTGTTGTTGGCTCTGCAAATCATGGAAACTTTCCACTAAGTGCAAAAGAAGCTGGGAGGACAAGGCCATTAGACTAAAGTTTCTTCAATTCCAGGGGTGCAAGTTGGGTGCCCAACTCGAATTCAACCTGAAGTAAATCCAAAAAAAATAATGTTAAGGTTGAGGTTTTTAAGGTTAGGGTTTAAAAGTTTTAACTCAAATTGAATTCGAACAAGACTTGGGTTAAGAGTTTGGATTCACGGATTTAACCCGAACCCAATCTAAATTGATGAAATCGGGTTAAACCAGAATTAATATATTATATTTATATAAACAACAAAAAAAAAAAATATATATATATATATATATATATATATATATATATATATATATATATATATATATATATACATATTTTGAAATTATTAGTATTTGAAGGGAGAGTGAAATATGATTTATAAGGATTATAGATAGCGAAAGAAGTTTACACAACTGATGTGAGACAAGTAAAAAAACAAAAGAAAAATAAGGAGTTGTCATCCCACATCGGATAGACAATTCAAGTGACCCCTCCCCTCTCTCCTATATAAAGAAGGCTCACTCTTACACCCTTAATAAGTTGTCTTAAATGTGTTGAGTTTTTTAACTCTTGGTACAATTTTTTATACTTGTTTGAGAAAAAATGTATGGATAAGTTGTTTACTCTTTTAAGTTTAATTTTAATAAAATATATTGTATTTAGGTACAAAATTCAAATGAAATCAATTTTTTTTTACCTAAATACCCTCCCCTAATTATGCATTCTTGATTTGTTGTCATATATCTAATCAAATATGTTAAAATTTTATTAGACTCTCTCATTATCTCTCCCCTATTTTCTCTTCATCTCTCTGTCCCTGTTACTTTTCCCATCTCTCTTTTATTTTCTCTCTATCTATCATTGATAATTTATTTTCTATTCAAATATGCAAATATTTGATTTAATTTTTCATCTCTGTCCCCCTATTTTCTCTAACCATTTTTCTCTCTCTCTCTCTCTCTCTCTCTCTATATATATATATATATATATATATATATATATATATATTTAATTATATCAACATTACAACAACACAATTACACTAATCAGTTACACCAATCAGTTATAATTATCTTATAATACATCAAACAGTTACTCATGCATTCCAATAAACCAAATAGTTATACCAAATAATTACACAAAATTATGACACTAACTCAATTTGTTATTCAGTTGTTTATATAAACTAAATAATTGCATCATTTAGTATCGCGACATCGTTACATTAATTATATATACCAAATTTAGTACAATGGTAAAACCTTTTGTGTAATGATAAACCTAATTTAGTGTATATAATTAGTGTAACCATGTTATGAAACTAAATGTTATAACTCTTTGATTTATGTAAATAACTGAATGACAAATTGAGTTGGTATTGTAATTTCGTATAATTATTTAATGTAACTGTTTGGTTTATTATAACACATACGTAACTGTTTGGTATATTATAGGGTAATTGTAACTAATTGGTGTAATTAAATAGTGTAATTATGTTGTTGTAACACTGATATAAGGATAGAGAATAAGGAAATAAAAGGAGAGGGAGTGAAAGAGAGAAAAAATAGGGGAGAGATGATAAAATTAAGTAAAATCTTTACATATTTAAAAATAAATGAATTATCAATGTGAGAGAAAGAGTGAGAAAAAGAGAGAGAGAAATAGATAGAGAGAAAATAGATAAGAGAGAGTAAGGTAGAGAGAGTAATGGAGTAATAAATGATTTTTTAGTCTTTTTTTTCCAAAAAATGCACTTATTGTCAAATAAGTTTCTTTAATGTAGTTTAGCTCAAATAAGTCTAAAATTTTGTACCGACTTCCAAATTACCCTAATGTGTTTCATCTTGGTGGGTTATGTAGGCCCATGTAATAGTCCAACATTATACAAAAACTCACACTTAATTTAAGATTATTGTTTGTTGAGCCCGAATTAAGCCCAAACTGAGTTACCCTATTTCAACTAGAGCGCTTGAAATCAAGCTGAGCAATACTCGAGTTAAGGTAACGTTATGATTATGGCTAGAGTTAAAGATTTTATACGTAGGATTGAGTTAAAGTTGCTCTCTCAACTAGCGTCAATCTGCCCAAGTTGCACTCCTACTCATCTCTATTCAATTTTTAGTGGTGGTTCACTGGTTGAGCATGATCTTTGATAACCTAGAGGTCCAAGTTCAATCATTTCCTACACCCCTTAAAGGCTAGCTATCCTTGTCTTTTTAGGGACATACTCTAACCTAGCTTAAGTTATGATAACCGGTCGTTGAGTTTAAAAGAATAGTTGACACAAGTCTAAACACTCGGTAATTAGAAAAAAAAAAGACTAAAATTCCCTCTTATATTTCAGAAGAGATTACTAAGGACAAAAGTAGACATTTTAAATGAGTGGGAAAGCACACATTTTCCTTTAACCTTGGGAATTAATATTAATAGAATTTTAAATTCTAGGAAACAATGTTTGATCTGACGCGATTAGTTTCTCAGTTTGTCTGTGCTTGCAATAATTTTCTTGCTCATAGCATCAATTAGCTTTGCCTTCCCTTCTCAATTGCTGCGAGAGCTGTTCATTTTTTTTTAACAATTTTCAAAATTGGGTTGTTTTGGCTTGTTTTATTTATCAAAATGTAGCATCAAAATTTAAATTTTTACGTTATAAGAAAGGTGGTTTTGAACTTAAAATATATAAAAGAAAAAACTTGATTTAGGTTGGTTTTCAATTATTTTCCATATGTGGTTGCAGGTATGTATCTATGGGTGACATAATTGATCTTTCAGCATTGGTGTCTGTTTCAGCGGTTAAGGTCGATAGATTTTAGAGTCTTTGTATTAATGTGGTGTGGTATAGAGATAGACTTTGCTTGCTCCAAAGACTCAGAAGTAGAACAATCTTTCTTTGAGAGTGTAAGGCAATGTGGATGACTACTATTTGTGCCAGGAAGTGTTTGAATTCTTTAGATGAAGATTGCTGAACAACAGTTTAGACATACCAAAATAATGAAGATGGGGTATTGAATTTATTGCAACCTGATGAACAACTCAAGAAGAAGAAATTTTCATCTGTTAGGAAGACATAGAGATATCCATGAAGCTCCAAGAGACCAAAAGATAGAATCTTTATTCAAGAAGATTGAATTCATCCACTCATCCCTGAAGGCCGGAACTGAGATCATGAGTGCTGGGAAGGAGTTTACTCTGGAGACAATTAAAACCCCTTTTCTTTGTGTGGAGCTTAGACTGTTAGATGGTCAGTTCAAGAACACTGGAAGGCTATGTTTCTGGGGTTAAGACAAAAGTTATAACCTTTGAAACAAATGGGCCCGCTTCCAGTTCATATATATTTGTGATGACCGATCTTCCTTTAGCTAACTGGGCTGGAAGTTACTTGGCACATTTAGCCAGAGATTCAGATGCTTTGAAGCTTTTTGTTCTTAGAGAAGAAGATGCATTGGTAGAAAGAACAATGAAGAAAGTTGTGGCTGCTAGACGAGGCATGAAATTTGGTTTTGGTCTGAGAGTTTTGATGGGATTGTGAAGCATTTCCATCCTACATTATTGGGTAGTATGCTTCTGTACGTAGAAAAAACTGTTTGCAGTTGTGCTTCCCTTGGTTTTGGGTTGAGATATGATTCAATTTAGCTAGGCTTTCAGTACTATGCAGTCAGATTCATAAAAGGCGGACTTCGTGTTGTGTGTTTAGTGATTAAATTGACTGATTGGAAGTACAGAAACTGTTCACAACTTCACATTCATTGCGTGATGAACTTGAAGAGTTCGAACTACTACAGTTTTGGGCTGCTGATGAAAATTGAAGTGCAAGCAGTATTCCATTAGCCTTTTTTAATTTTTGATTTGATTCTTAGCAAGAAACAACCCTAACGAGATTGGATTGATGTGGAAATTTTGGTACGATTAAGCTGCAGTTTGTGAAAGGATGGACATTCCCCTCCTAAAAATCTAGTCATATGAGTTAGTTTCTTGTTGGAAGTGAAATGATGTGATTATTTAGACACACAAGCAAGTCGATCAATCAGGTTTAGAAGTAAAATATTCACCAGTTAGTACATTTTTTTGGTAAATGCTGGTTTTTTTACGTGGACGGTCAATTAAGATTGAGAATGTTCTTCCATTGTGATGGATTGAAAATATAGAATTTATTTTTATAATATTGTCTAATGTTAGGTTGAATCTTGTATTAGGCCTTTTCTTTTATATTTTCTTGATAGCTGACACGTTAAGGCAAATAGTTTTACAATTTGTTTTCATAAGACTGATTTGACACTTTGTCGTTAAGCACCTGCTAGATGAAAATTGGAACACATGCATGCACATTATTTATATGGGATGGACTCGCGCTAGGTTATTACCCCTTTAGAATTTGGAATGCCATTGTCATTCTTCTTGGCATGCTTTCTTGTAATTACTATGCGATTCTTTTATAAAGATTGCTGATTTATTTGAATATTTGTTTTTTGTTTTTTGTTTTTTGGTTTCTTCTTGTTTGATAATCAAGGGACAAGTATTGGGATCTACAGCCTCTGCTGGGGAAAGTAGCAGATCATTGACGGTCAAGTTGCACTTGCTGCCAAAAATCTCTTGTGGGTTGAGCGGTATGTAGTTAAATATTCGATAGAAAACATGGCAAAATGGTGGAATTATGAATTGCACAAGGTTCCTCCTTCGATGAACTGAAGTACGCATTTAAGCTCTTGGTCTCTGATTTAGTATGATTGAACCCAATGTTACAATTTGGATCTAGAATCTAGATGGTGCAATAGGTTTGGCTTTTCTTATCGCGATTTCAAACTTCAACCTTGTATGGTACTTAAATTATTTTTTGTTTGGTAATAAATGTACTGACCATGACAGAATCATATTCATGCCTTTGCCTCTACTTGTATTCTTCGGGCTAATTTTTTGTCCTCTTTTGCTTTCGCTGATCTTGATTTGATCCTTTTGTTTTGACTTCTATTTCACTCTCTTTTTATGGTGTAGTTTTATCTTGCTAGGTTCGTGACAAATTGTACAAAAACTGAAGGAATTTATCAGGTCAATTGTATAGGTCGTAATTGACCTTTATTTTCATAGAAGGGTTATAATTAGTAACTTTTTTTGTTTGTGTAAACCATATAGTAGTTTTTTACCCTGTTTTGTAATGATTTTTTATGTATCAAATGTGATATATTTGATGCAATTATATTAATTTAAAATAATTAAAGTAATTAACCTTTATTGCTGGCAGAGGAGTCTGGAGAAGCCTTGCTTCATAATGTTTGATTTTTTTATGTTCATAGCTTATTGTTTTTCAACTCAACTAAGAGCAAAATAGGAATGGCATTTTAACATAATCGCAAGAACTCAACATAAAATGAGTGAGTGAGGGTTGATTAGGTTCTAATACAAATCTGAAAATAACATGACCTGCAAACATGAATGATAAATAGATTAAATTAGTGTCAAATACAAATAATTCAACTTTAACACAACAAAACAGTTTTACTAGTATTGTAGATAGAAAATGGGTGATTATTCCTAATTTTTTCTATTTTGATCTGGTGTTATATCGAATATTGTAGAATAAAAGGGCTTCTTTTAGTTGGTTTTGTTAGCCTTTGGATGGTGTGAATTTTTATTTTATTGGATGCCCGTAGGTGGCGATGTTCAATAAATGCAAACCTCTGGGTTGGTTTGTGTAATATCCCCAGAGATAAGGAGGTAAAAATCATGATATAGATCTGAAGCAGTTGGCAGATTTAGAGAGTAATAAGCTCGGTGATCCGACAAAGGTTGTGTTTCAGCAGGGGTATTGTAAGACTCATATACCAATTCTCCTTTGACAATCCGGTCATGAAAAAAGAGAATCAGGCATGACAGAATTCCTAACTTGCTATGGTTCATTGACTAAGCTCATTCTTTTTATACTAAAAAAATCTATCGGCTCTAAGACCGATAATAAATTCCTTTCGTCATCATACATCACAATCAAAATCAAGTCACGTTAAGGTCTCATTTGCTATCATAATGTCGAACCATTTTTCTGTATTAAACACATTCAAATAAAACTTCTTTCTCCGAGGTCTATTCTTTCTATGATTATTCCCTCCTCGAGGCGGTGTCTTATTTCTATACCTTTGGACTAATTGCATTGATTTTTTTTTTCTTTCGTTTGTTCCTCATACTTCGTTTGATAAGATGGAAAAAAAGAAGGATGAAAAATTGGAAGGATAAATAAAACATGTTTGGTAAGGAAGGATAAACAAGTGGATGAAGAGTTAATTATTTGTGTTGAGATGTATATTATTTGTCGATATATCCTATGTATAAATTAATTTCATATAAAAATACAATAATAAAATATGTATTTACTAGCAATTGCTCATGCCTAAAGGCACGGTGTTACTCGTAAATTAGGTACAAATATTTACTCATATAAATGTAAAGTAAAATACAACATTGTAGTAAACGATGAAAAAAATGAATCCGCTAATATTTTTTATAACATCAACCTACATACATAGCATATATTTCCACATTAAATTGTTACACTACGAAAATTATGTTATAATTACTAAATTATAATAATTCAAACATCTAAAAAATTATATCAGTTGACAATATTTAATGTTCTGTTTTTGATTCAAAATCCACGATTTTAACATTCATAATCAACTTTATCTAAATAATAATAGACTTCATAACTAGTAGAATGAAAATTACAACAATACGCCCACAAATAAACTAAGTTTGCAGATGTTGTCAAATGACCAAATATAACTATTAGAAATTCAACCGACTTTCAAAATATATGATTTGACTATTTAATTTGTATGATTCGAGTTTATAGTAGTGTTTTTAATTTTATATCATTCTTTTAGGTTATTTATATTTTTGATATATTTTTTTAAACTAAACATTATTTAGTATTGAATTATTTAGTAAAGATTGTTGTTTCGTATTGTTCACTAAATATTGAATTTGTATGATTCTTGTTCATAGTATTGCTTATAATTTTGTATCGTTTCTCTCGCTTGTAATTTTGTATTATTTTCTCGAGTATTTAGATTTGGATTATTTAGTAAATATTATTGCTTTGTGTTGTTCACTATATATTGAATTTGTATGATTCATGTTTGTATATAAATTTGATCTTATATATTTTAAATGTTAAGTATATTTTCTTTATTATATCTTTTGATATTTAAGTTGCCTAATAACTTGAATTTAATCTTGCATATTTCACATGTTAAATTAGATTTTTTGCAAATTATGTTTTTTTTTAATGATTATGGAAAAATAAAATAAAATTGACTATTGAATTTGTATGATTCGAGTTTATAATACTGCTTATAATTTTATATCATTTTTCTCAATTATTTATATTTTTAGTATATTTTCTTAAACTAAACGTTATTCAGTATTGAATTATTTAGTAAAAATTTTGTTTCGTGTTGTTTACTAAATATTGAATTTGTATGATTCGTGTTTATAATATTGCTTATAATTTTGTATCGTTTCCCTTGCTTGTAATTTTGTGTGATTTTTTTCGGGTATTTAGATTTGGATTATTTAATATATACTATTATTTTGTGTTGCTTACTAAATATTGAATTTGTATGATTTATGTTTGTATATGAATTTAATCTTATATATTTTAAATGTTAAACATATTTTCTTTAATATATCTTTTGATATCTGAGTTGTCCAATAACTTGAATTTAATCTTGTACATTTTACATGTTAATCATATTTTCTTTGTTAAATTAGATTTTTAGCAAGTTATTCTTTTTTTTTTATTGATTATGGAAAAAATAAAATTGACTATTGAATTTGTACGATTCGTGTTTATAGTATTGCTTGAATGAAAGAGAGAGAAACAGATGAATATTTTCGTGATATATACTATCTATCTAATATTTATTACATAATTTTCCTTATGAGAGAGATAGAGATGAATATTTTCGTAATATACTATCTCTTTTTATGATATATACTATCTATCTACAAAAAGATGTAGTATTTGCTTGAATCAGACACTATTTAATATTTTCATAAGAGATACAGAGGAAAATATTGTAGAAAATTGATATTTTTTGCGTGAATTGAGCGTAAGAGAGAGATATAGAACAATGAGAGAGAGTATGAGATTTGTTTGATTTAAGGAAAAGATTTGAGAGAATTAAATTTTGGAATATTAATCTTTGAAACTATAAATTTTGAGCAACAAAATTATTTCAAAAGAGTTAATGTGGTACATCAGATCAAAACGATCTGAGATGTCAATAGCTCGAGACAGTTTCAGATAACGTCGTCCATTAGATGATTTTTTTTTGTCATGAAATGATCTAGACCACTCTTTATCTTCAAAATTCAAATTCGTTCTACTTTATTATATAGATATTTAATTTAAAATTAATATTTAAATATATTCACGTGCAATGCACGATTACTATTACTAATAAAAGTATTTTAAAATAAATTTTTTTAAACTCTATTTTACTCTTATAAAGGATTGCAAATACTACTATATCATTTCACAATTAAAATTCTAAATTATTATCATATCCTTATGTCTTGAAATCTCCAAATTATCTATAACTTCTCTTTTAATTATTTAATTAGTTTCTATAAAAAAATTTAATTAATTATATTACCCTTAAAAAAATATGCATCATTATTTTTTTAATAAAATGTTCAAAAAACCCCATCAATCTAATGTTACTCATCTCATATACAAAGATAATAATATGCTTACATATGTGTATTTTCTTTTTTAATTGAAAAGTTTAACCTTTTCATTTTTAAGATAAAAAATAATCACATATAATTTTTTAAAATTAATTTATGTTACCTTAATATAATTCTTTGGTCGCAATAAATTTTTAAGTTGTATAAGATTTTATGTAAAAATAGATATTATAGTGTATTTTTAAGTAAAACTTAATTTTTTTTAGAATTTTAATATAAATGATAATATATATTACCTAACTAATTCTTAATTACAGTAAAATTGTAATATAATTAGTATATTGACAAAAATTATTCATGTTCTATTGTTAGTAAACCTTTATTCAAGTAAGAAAAAATTTTATTACCAGAAGCCCCCAAAACAAAAAAAGCAGCATTATTAAAATCTACAATACCAGGTAAATTCTCGTATCTATTGGGTTAATCTCAGATTAAAACATACTAAATAGCCAAAACATAAATAAATAAAATTGAAACAAACCAAGCTTTTGATGGGTTGCTGAAAGAACACTCAGGTGGGAAATCGAGGGCTTGTCCTCGCTAACACTCTCTCAGTCTCTCTCTTCGTTCCCCCTTCTCTCTCTATATGTATTTGACTCGCTCTGCAATTTTTGGCATGGATCTGTAAGTTGATAGATTCGTTTATGAATTTTCGGTTTCTGTCTTTAATTTGACGCGTTGAATTCGAGCAAAATCTTTGAAATCTTTTTGGTATGATAATTTATGGTTGTGAAGAGAGAGAGAGATGGAAAAGGGGGAGAGTATCTCTGTAAAAGCAAAAAAAGGGGGGTGAATTTGAGTGAGAAATAAATTAGGCAATGAATTTCGAATAGAGAAAGAGAGGAAAAAACCGAAGATATTAGAAAAATTAGGCTGGACAATTAATAAAAGTAAAAATTTTAGACAATCAATTTTGGAAAGTAAATTTTTAATTGATTATCGTAAATGTGGTACATCGGATCGAAACGATCTGAGACGTCAATATCTCGAGACAGTTTAAGATATCGTCGTCCATTGAATGATATAATTTTTGGTAACGAAACGATCTGGACCACTCTTTTTTTCCAAAATTCAAAATCTTTCTACTTTATTTTATATATATATATATATATATTAAAAAAAAATTAAAAATTAAAAATTAAAAAAAAAATTAAAAAAATATTTTTTCCATCTTAAATAGGGGTGAAAATTTTTGACTCAACACGATGACACAATTTGAACTCGACACGAATTTTATGACAAGAACTTGATTAATTCGAACACGAAAATAAACAGGTTAACTCGTAACTCGACACGTCACAATTAGTTAAATGAGTTAAGTTATGTGTGACTAATGTTCGACACAAACACGCAATGACTCAACACGAATTTGACATAACACGACTCGATTGTCATCTCTAATATTAGCCAACGCAAAAAAAAATATTCATTTTTATTTTTGATTCATCCAACCAAATACAAAGGAAGGAAAATGTATCATTCTTACTTTCCTTCGTTGAATGATAAAAAATATATCTCTCTTACTTTTCATCCTCCCTACTTTCCATATTTCCTACTAAACGGAGCATTAATGTTGGAGAAAGATTAAAAAGGGTTTAAAAAGGGTAGGGATAACAAAAACTACTTGGTTCACGTGATTTGTTCAGTTTGCATAATGACTAAAATAACTAACGTTTACTGACAAGGGTTTCTTGGTATGTTGAGAATATTTGATGTGTCTATAGACCATTCCTGCCCAATTTTGGAAGTCAGGCTGTAAATTTAGTATTTGTGGCCCGACTCGTCAATTTGGACTTGTCTTCTGCTTCATTTCCTAGACTGTTTCTTCCATTTGCTTTACTTCATGGAGTTATGATTTTATTCATGTATTAGTTTGCATGTAGGTCTTTTTCAGCAATTTGAGATAGTTCTTGGCAATTATCCCTACCATATTATCATTATATCAAACATTTGATACATATTATTTGATGAGAAATACGCACAGATGTTCTCTAACATAGTCTTACTGTCCTATACGAAATCCGATTTAGGACGACTTATATTTTGGCAGGCCCCATCGCTTTTCAGATGTCTTTTGGTTTTGGGCTTATCTATGTCAAGATCCATCTTTGCTTGTCCAAGGATGCTTTAATTTCTTTTGGTTACACCGGAAGTGTATCCCTCTCATTCATAAAGGCATATGCCCTGCGCCCATGTGAATCGGTAAAGCAGCATAACGTGGGCTTAACTGGAAGGCGTGATTCTACCCGTCTCCCTATTACTGTCCAACAAAAGAAGTGTAGAAATCCAGCTGCTGATAGCGTGATGGACACCACATACGGAACCAGCATAACCGAGTGTGGGAATAGAGTTGATGTTAGAGATGCTAATGACAAGAAACCAAACATCGCCATACCGTGCCGGACAACACTGGCATAAGTTGGAGAAGAAAATCTCAATTTTGCTTCGGACAAGATGCAATATAGGAGCAAACTAGTAATGGCAACACACAGGGTTTTGGGATGGGTTTCAAATGGAGTTTCATCATTTCCTTGGGACTTTAACTGCATGAGATTGATGACTATCGGAACAATAAAGGCGAGAATGACATGGCGTGAAAAAGAAGTATGTTGTTCTTATGTGAGATTGAATCTCATATCAATGGAGGCAGCATGAAACTGCCCAGAGAAGCTTGTTCATCTGCGATGAAAAAAGATTGTTCTTGTTGTGTTGGCCATCAGTAAATACCACTTCTTGCAGAAGACAATAAACTTGAGTTACTGTAGGAAAACATACGAATGCATATTAGAGGGGGACATGAAGAAGGAGACCTTAACAGTGACTCTGTTCCTTACTAGAGTTGGTCTTTGATATGATAATATTACTACGTATTTCCATCTTTTATAGTAAGGACTGCTGTGCTAATGAATCTTGTTCATCTTTCAAATCAAGTTACTGATTGAATTAATTATTTGATTAAAGTTCCCATGGCCACTCGCACAAAGAAGCTAGTCTCACTCTGTGCTGACTGTATCATTATTGTTTATAGTCGAAATTCTGCTTATCCCCTGACCCTTTCTATTAAATCATGCAGAATTTAAAATATCTGCATCATCAGAAACGTCATTGAAAAGAGCTACAATAACAACTGAGGATGTCGAATTCAGTCAGGCCTGGTTTGTTGGTGATACATGATAGTCTTTCATGATCTACGACTACAAGAGATCAGAACTTGGAGTAAATATTGGATGTGACAGTTAGACTACGTTAGATTTGTCATGTGATATAAATGTTTAATGATAACTCACAAAATAGAAAACGTTGATCCCATTAATTCAAATAACCAGTAACCATTCTATGTAAAAGTAGTCGAGTCATTTCGTCCATTTGTTTATTTATTTATTTTTTGATGTAACTATTATACCACGTGATAATGTTGACGTAATATAACCATTATACCCACTATTGAGAATTAACATTATTGATGTAATTAGGGGTTGAGCTAAGATTTTATCTCGAGGGGGGCTAAATAGTGATATAACAATATAATTTTTATTCAGTGTGGATCATTCAATTAGATCATTAATGTTATGACATTTATATACATATAACATCTAAGAATCAATTTCATGCAATATAGTTACAATACCAAAATTTAACGATTTACACAAAATATCTCAATTTTAATAGCTAATGGTTACACATGGTCTAATCAATATTCGAGACCATTACAATGTGAATTTATTGTAATGAATTTATTGGTTCGTTATTATTTTTTATAACAACAAATTATCACAATTAATTATTTTTTAGATTTAATATTACAATGTGAATTTATAATATAAAATATGGTGGGCCAATTCAACAGTCTCGAATAGATTCATCTAGTATCCTTCTCAAAACTATTTATATTATTTCATACTTTTAGACACGAATTAACTCTAATTTAATGTGTAACATAATTGTCAAATTAGGTAAATTCGAGTTTTATATGATAGGATGAGTTTTTGAATTGTTTCAACCTGAATGCCGTTGACACCTCCTCATCCGGGTCAGGTGAACTTAAATAAGTTTATCTACACACGTATTTTGGAATCCCCCACTGCTTACTCTGTTGGGGCAAAAAGACAATAAGCCATGAATCTGCCAGGCTTTGGCGTGATTTTATTTTATTACTTGAAAAGCATCCCGATCATTATCAACTTTAATGGGGTGGGACTGCAAGCAGTCAAAAGTTCTTCCACTCCTGAATTGAATTAGTTCCCATCATCTATAAATGGGTCCACTGTTAGTCTCCGAGGATGGTGTTATGAAAACACAATTTAAAATTGATACGAAATTAACGGATTATAATTGATTATTTTTTGAAACGAATTCGTATATGATATAACATATTAACACGAATAATAAATGAGTTAGATTAAGTAATAATATAATTTTAAACATAAAATTGAACGTTAAATTTTTATTCACCGATTACATGGGTTAACAAAAATACAACATGAATAGTTAAACGAGTTGGATTAGAGTTAACTAGTGCTTAACACAAATTCAAAATGACACGACATGAAGATGACTTTATCCGAGACGATTGCCACCCCTAATTAATCTATTTATACATATTAGATGAATTAATTACAAAATGAATTTAAGAGCTTGATTTTTCATTTCAATTTGAGATTATTTTTTATTATAAATAAAGGGTAAATTTTATATATAGAAAAAGTTGGATATACAACAAAGTGGAAACATACTTAGATCGTACAACCAAATGTTAAAAGGAAAAGTCCCAAGGTACACTACAGACAATTCCCTCCCACAACCCGAAAGGACAGGCACAAGCCTAACAAAAACCTTCCAAATATTTAATCTTATAACTTTCAAATCCTTCCACGCAACTTCCACTTTCTTTAGAAGAGAGACCCTTTTCAAATAGATAGTCAAAAGAATTATTAACAACTACCTCCATCTTCTCAACCTTATCATTCTTTTTTATTTACTTTTTCGGGGAACAGGACAACTACCTCCGTCCTAGGAGGAGAGATTAGTTATATATATTTTTTTATAATTAGTAAAGAAAATTAAATATGTGAACCTTTTTTTTTCTTAATCAACTGTATATACGAGAGGGGAGTGATCATTCAATCCAACTTTAGAAAGTTTTAGGATATGTTTGAAATTTTGAGAAATTAAAAATTTTTAGAACTAACCCAAATTGAAAAATTTGTAAAAAAAATATAGGAATAAATTTATTTTAAAAAATGAGTAGGCTAATCTTTTAGATGAAATAATCAGATTTAAACTTTCTTCACATGATTCGATTCTCGTCCAATTTGGAATTAGATTCATATATTTACTATTTTTGTAGATAAAACAATTGGACAAACTTTCTTCACATGACTTAATTTCCTCAATTCTTTTTCAATTTGACATTAAACTTATATATATAAATTAGTTATTGTTCATGTTTGAAGGCACAAAGTAATAAAAAAAGTGTCAATCATAAATATATATGTATTTACATCCAAAATTAAATCACAAAATATAAAAAAAGAAAAAGAAAAAAGAATTTAAGCAACGGTTCTAGCGAGGGTGAGTGGTGGTGCACGGTAATGATAGTGTTGGAAGATGGTGATAGTTGTGGTGGGCGGCGACAGTGGTGGCAGTCGTGGGTGGCAATGGAGATGGTGGTGATGGGCGACAATGTGTGGTGGTTGTTGGTGGTGTGTGACAGTGGATGGTGACGGTGGTGGATGACGACAAGTGATGGTGGGTTGTGGTAGTGCGTGACGGTGGGTGGTGGTGGGCGATGGTGGTGGTGGGATGATGATGGTAGTGATAATAAATATAAAAATAAGATGATAATAGTGGTGGGCGACTATGGTAGGACTTGACGGTGGTGGTTGTTGTAGAGGTGGTGATGTAGTGGTGGTAATGGCGATGAATAACAGTGGTAGCAATTAGTGGTGGGTGATGACGGTGATAGTAGTTGTGGTAGATGTGGTGAGGGGTGGTAATGATGGTAGAAGCAGTGGCGGTGGCTACAGTGGTGGGTGTGACGGCGACGGTGGTATGGTTAAGAGTTTTGTAAAAAAGTGATTTTAAAGAAATAGAAGTTATTTTTTTTTTTACTTTTACTTACTTACTTATTTGAGTGGTAAACCTACTTTTAACTTATTTGAAAGGAATTAAAATAAGTTGTTGCAAACACTATTTTTTTTTATAAATACTAGAAACACTTTTAAAAAGTCACCCCAACACACACTCTTAAAGGCTGTTTGGTATGTGGGTTTTGGGGGGGGGGGGGTTTGGAACATGAGTTGGGGAATAAAATCCAATAAACCCATGTTTGGTATATACATAGCTAGTCCAGGGTTTGAAATTCAGCTTGCTTTAGACCAGATAATTAAACCGATGTTCATGGGTTTCATGAAACCCAGTGGGGGGTGAGTTTCATATGTGGGTTAAAGGATTTAACATTTAAATTACCTTTATACCCTCATATATCAAATATATCTCATATTACCCAAATTGGTTAAGGAATACAATAGTATATACAAATATATTATCATAATAGTCATATATCCGTGCACATACCAAACATAGGAATGAACAGTATCGAATATTAAATCTCATCTTTAAATTTCATCTTTGAGTTTGGAAAGGTTTGGATAAATCAATTCAAACTCCTCCTAAAAAACATATCAAACAGGCCCTTATGGGTCATATTTTTCTTATTAAATTAGTCATCAGATTAATTTTAAAGTAAAATTTAAAAGAACATGCTATATAATCCAAATAAAACTCAAAAATTAAAATTCAAATGTATATCATCTCTTAGATAGTGAGTCCCACTAAAAAAATTAATGAAATCTACTCATTCAACGAATTATATGCATTTGGGTTATAACTTTTTGAATTGCATTTGATTTTTGTAGTATTGCTCAAATTTAAAATGATCTCAACTATGAAAAATAAAAATTATTTTTTATGTTGTACTTTATTATATACGATTACTAAAATTCTTTTAATTGGTTGCTTGCAGCTCCCTCGATACAATGGTTTTTTGTTAAATCTTGACGATAATTCTTATATTACATTAGCAATGTACGTTGTACGTGACTAATTTTTTAAAAAAATTAATAAATAAATATTTAATATATGTATACTTCAATTAAATATCATCTCAAATTTAACAAACTTATTTTTTCATCGCTCATGCTCATTTATAGAATTTTTGAAAATTTTGTATGCTTTCAAGATTTGTTATTCTAACTTTAAGAAAAATGATAAAAAAAAAGAAAATAAATAATTAAAGTTCTATTTTTTTCTATAATTTTATAATTGAAAGTATTTTTTAGTGATGTTTGAAAATTAAAATTTTTAAAATTAATTTGATTAAGATTCCACTTATAAATCATTGAACAAAATAAAAATAATTATTAATATACCAATCGTATTGGAACTTTACTGTATTTAGAATTACTTAGGTCAATTGAGATAAAATTTAATATACAACACCATAAGATATATTATAAAACATATTAAAATTTTAAAAAAAATTCAAGTTTTCATATAAAATTTTATCAAAGTTTAAAAAGTTTATTGTAACTAAAAACTTATGTAAAACTATATATACATTAATTTTTATCTTAAAAATAAAGTAGTTTTGATGAAAAATGAAATATACATATGCAGTTATAATATTATTTTTATAAATAAGATGAGTCATTTTATATCGATAGAGTTTTTAAAAGTTTTTTTTTGAATATTTTTTTAAAATTTATAATAATATATATATATATATATATATATATATATATATTTTTTTAAGAGTAATATAATCAATAAAAAAATTTCATAAAAACTGACAGTTATAAATAGAGAATACTTAATTAAAAAATTAATTTGATTAAAATTTCACTTATAAATCATTGAATAAAATAAAAATAATTATCAATATACTTTAGGATTACCTGGGTCAATTGAGATAAAATTTAATATACAATGTTATAAATATTAAAATTTTTAAAAAAATTAAATTTTCACATATAATCTTAGCACAAACTTAAAAGTTTGTTATGACTAAAAATTATATAAAGCTATATATAAATTATTTTTTTATCTTAAGAGTAATATAATCAATCAAAAAATTTCATAAAAATTGACATTTATATATAGGAAATATATAATTAAAGGTGATCTTAGATGTAATTTGGAGATTTAAATGCATAAAAATATGATGATAATTTAGATATTAAGTGTGAAATGATAGAGTGATATTTTTAATTCTTTATTAGTGTAAAATAGTGAATCAAACAATTTTTTATGTTAAAGTATTTTTATTAATAGTATATAGATAGATATAGATATAAAAGCTATAAGAGATACTTATGAGCCTTTTGTGGGCTCTTTTTGTAAGTTGCACTTGTGTACGAGTTGCAACTCTAATTTGACGTTCGTTTAATACGACTGTTTTAACTTAAAAATATTAAAAAAAATTGTGACCATAATGTTAAAATTATGGTTTAAGACTACATTCACAATGTCTAAGTGTACATGCAAACTATAAATGAGTTGATGCAAATTTGACTATAGATCATGCAAATGCAACTCGACATGAACTCATCTATAAATAACTATAAATGAATCGCAAATGGATCAAGTCATTTTTTGTACTATCAAGACATGAATTCAACACAACTAAACCGTTATTAAACCTAGTTACATAAGCTGGTGTTTTAAGAAGCCAATCCTCGCTAGCCTTAAAAGTCTTAATTGGATGTGTACACATTAGAGGCTAAATCTGAGGGCGGTGATTTTACACACTCGTTGAATATTTGAATCCTTGGCTTACGTCATGTTAAAACATTTTTTTAGGTGATTGAACTATCACTAAATTAACCCTTATAGTTAAAACTTAAAAAGGTACATTATCATTGTCTGTCTTGTTGGGTCTTTTGTTTTTTTTTTCCCTGGTTGCGGTTGGATGGACATGGCATTGACAATGACAGCCCTCGTTAAGGCTTAGTTGGGACATGGAAGCTACTGAGATAAATGATTCACTCAAACCCTAGTAGTCTCTTTTTTTTTTTTTCCTGCTTGTGAATAAAACATGTGGGAATAAGGAAAAGTGCTTAGAAAACACTCGATAGGCTCTTATTGGTAGGATCATGTGACCTCTAACGATGTTTGTTATCTTTTCAAGAACGAACTTAGTTAGACTATCATGAATAGTTCCGCCACCAATAGATGAGCAATGTACGAAAGGGGGCACTGCTATCAAGGGTGTTCCCCCCATTCTGTGGTTAAAAATTATAATATTTTATTTTTTTATCTGATATTTTACATTGACCTTTCCTAATTAAGTGTAGTATTATTACTTGATTCCGTCCAAAATAATCAAGTAAGAAGTCGGATAAGAGATTGAGTGAACACATATTTTTTAGTTATTAATTTTTTAATTATTTTAACAATTCAATTAAGTAACCTGCATTAATTAACTAACACAATAAACCAATAGCACTAAAAAAAATACAATAAATTCAATAATACATAAATAATTACAATAAAACACAACATGAAAACCATAAATATCAATACATCATTATTAGCACACACACACACACACATATATATACATATGTGGGTAGAGTAGAGTAAAAATACAAAATTTTTATGGATATTTCATATTTCTATCTAATTTTTGTAAAATACCAAACATTCTTCCATTGGCCTACCCAATTTTTTTTTGGTAGCCGATTAGTATGATCAAAATATGCGAGTAATCACAAATTTGAACACCCTTTATATGCTACATAGATCTAATTTAAAGATCTGATTTAAGAATAAAAAACTGAACTGGCGCCACATTAATGATGTGCCAAGTGTTATTCCTGGAAATATAATCTGTATATCATACATTTGATACATAATTCATAAAAAAAATACTTATTGTCGGTCCTTATGGTGGTCTTATTGCTACATTTTATCGCACAAATCAAGACTGATAAATTTTTGGTAGACCCAGTGGCTTTTCAGCTGTCTAAGATCCATATAGAATGCCTTAATCTCTCTTCTAGTTATACAGGAAGTCTATTCCTCTCGTTCGGAAAGGCATGTGCTCTGTGCCTCTGTGAACTGATAAAGCGTTGTGCCATGGGTCTACCACCTCCAGGTTCCTCAAATCCGCTTGCTGAAAGCATGATGAACATCGCATATAGGACCAGGCTAACTGGGTCTGGGAACAGAGTTGATGTTAGAGATGCCAATAACAAAAAACCAAACAACCTAGTACCATGGTGAACAATACTGGCATAAGTTGGACTTGAAAATCTTAGCATTGACAAGACACCATATAGGAGCAAACTAGTACTGACAACACACATGGTTTTGGGGTGGGTGTCAAATGGTGTTTTGTCCTTCAACTGTAGAAGGGCGATGATCACAGGGACAATAAAGGTTAGAATGTCATGGCATGATGGGGAAGCACGCTGGCCTTCTGAGAAATCGAATCTCATGTTGATGTAGGCTGCATTAAATTGTCCAAATAAGTTTGTCCATCCGCGGTGAAAGAGGGTTGTTCTTGCTGTGTTGGCCATCACCAAAAAACTACTGCCTGTAGAAGACAAAAAAGGTCTTATATCCACATAGTAACCAATCTCTTGTCTCGCCATCCCAACATATTCGTGTATCCAGAATCAACAACATTGGAAGATGTTCACCAGTTGGATGAGAAGAAGCAAGAGCATATTATTTTGATCTAACCATATAACATTGTCCGAGAAACAAAGTACTGTTGTAAACATTTGAAAATGAAATCCAACCAAAAATAGAAGAAAAGGAGGGGGAAAAAGCACTACTTGTTATGTATAACAAAAACTTAATTCAGAATGCCATTCAATCTAACATAATGTCCTCCCTTCCTGCCTTAAACTACATGCTCTATGATCGTGTTCTTTTCTCACGAAACTTTCAAATTGAATTGACAATATGCTGCTTTTTTCTCACAGGCCGAGTCAGTAATAGTTGTTCAACATCATCAACATTCTGGTGCTACCCCAAGGTATGTCTCTACGAACCAGATTACTTGTATTTCATATTACTTGTATTTCATCATTACCTTGTGCTGGAGATCAATTAGCCAAATAAACAATCAGCGGGCTTTTTCTAGAACTCCATGCTTCTTGGCCTCCCTGCATTGGATGTCCCATTATTATGTTTCATTGGTAAGTGTCATTAGTCATTACTAATTGTCGTGTATCACCAATAGTTCTCATCCGTTTTCAGTAACTTCATTAGACGGTGGTGCCATCTCTCCGCAAACAAGATACCTGTAATTCAATCTCTCTGCTGATCACAGCCATAAAATCCACCAACACATTTTGGACCTTAATAGATATCCCTGCAGCCTCCAAGGTTCCATCTACGGAACAATAAAGAACTACTTCACTGGACATGTTCAACTCTTTGGTTGTCCTCCACTCATGGTCAGCATCAAACCTGGTAATGCTTTGAAAAATGCATGGACTCCCTAATGGTTTGAAGGGTCTAGGTTTGCTTGCTTCCGAGAGGGACGTCTCAGCAGAATGAGACCCTCTGAAACTCATAACGAGAAACAGGACAAGTTTTCCCAATCCCCAGCCAACGACACAATGCAAACCCCATAGTAATGATGCGAGCCAGGCAGCTTCTTCGCCATTTCCCCAAAACTCAACTAACCCTTGTGAACCACAAAAGGAGCATTATTACTCTCAACATCCTCTTTTATCAAAACCACAAATAGAAGATCTTCAGTAACATGTTTCGCAACTGGTGGTCAACCAATCAAAGAGTTCTCATTCCTAGCAAATTGACCAAACAACATCGCATACTCCACCGTATCCGCGTGAAAAGCAAGAGCATGTTCAAGAGAGCACCAATGAGCAAGAAAATCAGAAGAAATTCAACAAATTTCTAAACCCTAGAAAGGGGGGAAATCACGCACAGATCAAGTGGACGGAAAATTAACAACAAATTGGAGATTCAACCATAAAATTGAAGATTTTTCAATAAATCATGTCAATGGAAAACCCTAAATTTGAAGATATAACATCTTTTGGTATGCATCTCAAAAAGATTGAAGAACAAAAAATCCACATACGGACCTTCAGGGGTGGGTAAGATGTTTGGTTGTAGATATGGACTCTGAAAACAACAATTTGTTCGCAGTGGCTTTGTTCGTTCGTAGTTGCTGAGATTGGCTTTGTTCGTTCGTAGTTGCTGAGATTGGCTTTGTTCGTTCGTAGTTGCTGAGATTAGCTTGTGTTCTTCGTTGGGGAGAGAGAGAGAGAGGAGCTGATTTTATAGTCAGGACTCCAGATGGGTAAATTAAGCGGGAAGACCCCATTCAAAATTTAGGCGCGCGCGCGTTTTTATTTTTTCTTTGTTATTTGAATGATGAATAACACTTTTTGCCCCAAAAGATGATTATATTCTCAATTATATCCTCAATTAACACGATAAACCACATGTTAAATCCATTTATATATTCGTTTAAAAATGTTATATAACTTTATAAAACTAACTCTATAAAACTAATAATCTAACAATAATAGAAGGCTTATATATTTTCTTTGACTGTCACTAAAAAAAAATTTTGGGACTGTCACTAAATTTTTAAATTATTATTAATTTATTATCATATTAATCTTATTTGAACGGGTTGACAGGTCTTACCCAAACACGACTCATTTATTAAACGTGTTTGTTAAGTTAACCCGTTTACCACTTAAACTCGTTAAAATCTCACACAAAGTCATTTAATTTGTGTCGATTCATGTCAGTTAACTGTGTTGTGTTAGACTTTGAGAGGCCTAATGACCACCATACTCATTTGGTCAAAATGGAGGTAGGGTTGGACAATCAAGAGGGTTGGACGATAAAGATTGCATCAAGATGATGACGGGGAGGAAAGTTTGTAGTGTTAGGTTTTGCTATTTTAGTAGTATTGTAGTGGAGGGTTGGTTCTAGTGCTTTGGTTGTTACACAATAACTGCCATATTGTAACTCATACCTTGAACTAGTGAAATGCACTTATACTATATAATGTATTATTATTGGTTAGTGACAGACTACATAATATATTATTACTATCAATTGATCGCGTTTGAAGGCACGAAATAACGAAAAATTGAATTAAAACTTGAAGAATACTACCGTGCCTAAAGACACTTTGCAACATAAAATAAAACGTCAATTTGAAATAATTTTTACATCATTTCTTTCAATTAAATAAATTGAAAAAAATTTAATCCCCACTAATTTTTCAAAAAATATTTTAACCTGGCTACAAAACTCAATAATCATACATAACAATCATAATAATGTCTCATACCACCACAATTCAATTCTCTATTTCCACCACAATCATCATACATCACAACAAAATTCCATACCCAACCATCAATTCACATCAAAACCAAACATATCAATATAACCATGTGTAAATAGTTCATTGTACTAAATATGGAATAAACAAAACACATGCAAACTACACACAAAAAAAAAAAAACATGCACGACGACATAAAGAACTTCTTTCAATATCATTTTCTTTGGAGTTAGGAGTTATCACCACACAAATGTCTGATTGAAATGGACTTTAACCCGTCTTTGAAAGCACGATGTAATTCAAACAAAGTGAACATTGATCTTGAACCCAATGAAAGAAGAAAAATAAATATTGTACATCATCATTGATTCTCAATCTAGTTGGTTGGTCATAAACATCAAAGAGAGCATACACAAATTCATGTGTGAGTAGTGGGGCCTAAGTATTTCTATGTTCTAATTGATTTAATTTAGGTTGTCTTATTATTGTAGAGAGCAATAAATTGTGCTTAAAAGTACCATACAATTCATAAAAAAAATCGAATTTTGACTGTGGACTCAAAAAAAAATCCAACAGTGAATAGGAACATAAAATTTGAACCTATGGTCCTTTACTTTTCTCGTCAGTTGGAATCAACATAATTATCCAAACAAACACAAACGAATAACACACACATATTTGCATAGGGTGAGGAGAATTACATGAGCAATCAACTTATATCCAACATGAAAATGTCAACCATATTACATGTATCATTCAATATTCAATGAAAACCTATTCCTAGCTTTGTTTTCTAATATTAAATAGCTAAGTTCATTGTTACAATGACCGCCAACCACCTTTAATTCAATAAAGTCCTACATTGGCCTATGAAATTTAAACGCCGGAAGAACTCTAAAAAGTCTTACATTGGCCAATGATTGGATATACAATAAATCATCTGCATCCAAACAAAAAAAAGTATAAAAAAAAAAACACTTATGCTCAATAGATGTAGAGCATCCAAAGTTTCAAACGAACTGGATGAAAACTTCTTAATACAAAAATTACCTCTCGAATTGGATGCTATGCTAGCTCTTGTTGTGCCTTTGACCTAAAGATTTCCACATTAACCAAATAAACAAAAATCCAACACCTAGAGCATACACAAAAAATATGGCAATGGCACCATTACCCAATCTTCAAGTTAATTCACATAAAACCAATCTCTTTGGCAACCAATCTCTCCAACAAACTAAAAAATATATAGTCAAATCGGTGTACTGAGAAATAAAGTTGTTGGAAAAAGAATTTTACAACTTTGACAGCCACGATCTCAAACATGTCAATGTGAGTAGCTGAAAAAGATCAATACATTAGCACAATTAGAGAGATTTAATTAAAAAGAACAAAATTTGAGTAAAAATAGAGAAATTGGAAGATAGATTTCAATGTTGACAATAAAGAAAAAAATTGTCAAATAACACAGATTGTGTTCAAAGTTTAGAGATGAGAGAATTTAAAAATTAAAGTTGTTCATGTTTGTAATTTACTTTCCCAGAATTAAACGACAACAAATTAGAAAGAAAGTTGGGGTTGTGCAGTGATGTGTGTGTGTTTGATTGTGTCTGTGGGGGGGGGGGAGAGAGAGAGAGAGAGAACTTTCTCAACTACTCCAACCTAATGCCCATATAATGATTTCCAGCCTGAAGGAGCTCCTATGCTACTCAAATCGGCAATAACCTATAAGTAACATTCCTATTTATCACTAAAGTACATTTTGATTCAATCAAAACATACTTGAAAAGCATCCAAGAGTAATACTAAACGTGTAAAATTAGCACTGTCAAGTCATAGAACTATTTCTCTTAACACAAGAAAAGTGCCAAAGTGCCATATTTTCTTCTAATATAACATGGAAAACAGAAAATTAGGCTCTGTTAATGCGCACATGAATTACGCTTTGTAACACACACATGATTTAAGCAAGGCCAACTGCTTAACCAATTCTGTAAATGCACACACGAATTAAGCAAGGCCACCGCTTACGAAATCAAAAATTATGAAATTCATCTAAAAAAGAAATGGAATTGAACTCAAATCAAACTCATTCAGCTGTGTTGTAGGTTTGGGTGTACGTATAGTGTGTGTGTGTGTGTGTGTGTTGGTGGGCCATTTTTTGTACTGAAAAAAAAAAACCAAAAATGTAACAAAAAAATAACGAGGAAGAAAATAGTGGATATACTTGCTTATATTAGTATGATTAATAACACGAGCACGCGGGTACCAAATCAAAAGTTTAAATTAAAAATCCTAAATACCAACCAAATCATCCAACAAATTCCTTTATGCACGTATGTAACATGAAAATGCAATACAATCCATTAAAAAAACTTAATAGTTGATTAAACATTAGCTATAATTTACCAAAAAAAAAAAAACCATTGGAAATATCCACTAAACAGCTAATGAAAGAGCTAAGAGAAGTATGTGATCCTTCCTTTGTCCAACCAATATAGTCAACTTCTATAAAAAATTCATGGCATGAGAGAATCACTCTTCACATATTTATTGCAACCACTCCAAACCAAATGTTTGTTTCCACTCCAAACATCACGGATGTTAGCAGTAGATTCAATGCATACCTGTGCATCCCACTTTAATTCTATCACTGCTAGAACAAAACACTACCATATTAATTCAATTAATCGAAAATTTGTAGGAAAGAGTACAGGAAACTAACATCAACCTTTGTAGGAAAGGTTTGGAATGGGGTTGGATGAGGCTACTCTTTGTCTCAAACATTGCAAACTTCTTTCCAACAATCAGACAACACAAAATCTGCAAGGAAGTTCAACAAAAGAAATCAAATTGATGGAATATGAGAGAAAAATGGTTACAGTTTCAAGAAATAATAATTACATTAGTAAACATTTACCAATCCATACAAAATGGAGAATGAAACCAAATTTGTTAAACCAATCCAATCAAACCACCATCATTCATCCAACCCACTTCTATCAAAATAACCCTCACATCCAATCGCAAACATGACTTCCAATTACACAATTTGAAAATCAAAACCTAAACGCAATCAAAATAATCCTAACATTAAATTTCAAAACCATAACACTAACATTCAATAAAAAAAATGCTACTAACAACTATAATTTCCCACATTAATTTCTTGCAAAACTTATCAAACCAATATGAGAAAAACAACCAAATTAACACCAAAAAATATCAAACCAATGCAAAACATCCAAAATATTAAACCAATACAAAACACCAAAAACATCAACAATGTGTTGTGTGTGTTGGTGTATGTGTGTGTGTGTGTGTGCGCGCCGCGCGTGCGTGTATTATAGACTGTGTGTGCCTAGAGGGAGAGAAGGAGGTATGTGGACCATGGCAGAGGAGTGATTGGGGAGAGAGAGGAAAGAGAGGGCCTGAGTTGCATCTCCGCGTGTTCAACTCTGTGTGTGTGTGTGTGTGTGCAACTGGAGGAAGAGAAGGAGGTACCTAGGTCATGGCAGAGGAGTAATCGAGGAGAGAGAGGGGGTTGAGTTGGGTCTTTTTCTGCAGAGGAGCAAGAGACGAGGGAGTGA